ATTATAGCTGCAGGCAGGCTTGCGTGTGGTTTCCGCGGTAATATGTGTGCAGGAGGCTACGGGGTGCGCCTTTGAGGGCTTTCCTTGGCGTGTACTGGAGCGTGCCACAAGGGAGGGCGATAGAAGGATAGGATAGGAGGAAAGGTGGTGGCGGATAAGGATGTTAGGATGTTAGGGGTTGCCGTTCTTGTAGGCTATGTATCCATCTATTCCTCCGTGGCGAGTAACAAGAACCGGTTGTTTTTGATCGCGAGGTATGCTTACAAGCAAGGAGGTACCTAGGCGTAGAATTGTCAGCGGAAGGAACTGATGAAGTCGAATCGACTTCCCGCTCCTACGCCTTCACTTCTGCAGAGTGCACAACGGTATCCGCTACCATACAGTACCTGCTGTGCGCGTGTAGCAAAATCAACGACACAGCAGCAGCAGTGTGCCGAATCAGACTGGAGAACGCCACGGGCTATTGCTGCTTAAGTGCGACAGGTGGAGCAAGTACTCTTTGTGCGTCGCAGGCTCGACGGAAGGACGCAAAGTGGCGATTCTCCTCCTCGGAGCACCCAACCAAAACCCTTGCAGTACATTTCTGCATGAGCACGAGGCGATGGTCGTTATGGGGGAAATGCAATACGTTGGCGCTTTGCGGTATTACATAGTACACAAATGCAAACAGAAAAAGGAAAAAAAAAAAAAAGACGAAAGCGGCACTTAAGTCAACCTAGCCTATTTAGCGGATGTGGGGGCGTGTTTTGCGACCATGCTGCATGCTCGATAACCACGGGGAGGCCAGATACCCAACAAATAACACCCGCGGTCCCTCTGCAGTGCTAGGTTGGTTCACCCGCACAATGGGGGGCACCAATCCTCACTCATTCAAATCTTAAACCAACTTGATTACTCAATGCCTTCACTACCTGTGTCAATGGACAAAATATTTCACCCACCTTACAACGCCCACCCGCCCTACATAGTATGGAGATATGCCCAAACGAACACCAGCAAGAAAGAAACATCTCATCATAAGAAACGTCTTGACGCACGCGGCCTTCAGGGGGGCCCGGGGAGGGTACGGGTGTGAGTGCGGGGTCGTCTGCGCAACGTGCAATGGCAATCGAACACGACGTCACACTCACGCACGCCACCCGAACACAGTCAGTCAGTCAGTCACAACCAACCTGACGGCGGACACCTCCCTACAACCAATAACGCCCACGCCAATCGGGCCACAGTATGCACACCACAACACACCCTTGCCTGTGCCGGTACGGCGAGCAGGGGCAGGAAACTCAGCGCCGTCATCATCTCTCACATGCCTCTCCCGCAAAAAAGACCCGAAACAGCTCGTCCCAAAATCGGTTGCAGTACCAGCAGGTATCCACCCGCCCCTAGCTTCCGGGACCCCTTTAAGGAAAGGAACCCCCCCCCCCTCCTCCTCCTCTGCCTGGTGGCCCTACGCCTACTTGCAAAAAATGATCGACATAGGATAACACGGGAACAACACGCGACTATACCGTCCACCAACTTGCTCCAATACGTTCGCTCGCGAATCCGGCACACGACGCCACCCAGCAAAATCGGTTCAAGACATATGACAGAGAGAGAGAGAGAGAGAGAGAGAGAGTAACAACGTCTAGGGGCGCCGGAGAATCGCGCCTCAGCTCGCGAGACACCAGATAGATCATCACCCCCCACTGCTAGAAAGACGGACCGAAACCTTTTGCTTGCGGACCCTTTCCCTACTACCGTACATCCACAAGCCCTCTCGACCTAGTACGTAGGAACACACCAACCCCGTAACAACGCTACTACACCCATACAGAAACCGAAACGGGCGTGTCCATTTCAAGGCCTGTCGGCGCAGCCCTTTTTGCCCGAGACGGCACAGATACCGCCGTTTTCAGACGCAACGCGAGGCACCACAGCAGTCCACGACCATCGTGATAACCTACAGCAGATAGCATACTCCCCGCCCGACTCACAAAACGTGTGTCGAGAAAAACAACGCGGGGTGACACACGACAAAGTCTCTTGTCTCCTGCCCCCTAGGGGGCACGCGATTGCGGCACCATGGCCGGACCCATCTTGTAGATGAGGATCTGCTGCACGTGGTGGCGGACCTCTTCGCTGTTGCATCTCACCAGACGGGTCATGCAGCCGTACATCCAGCCCACGTTGAGACGCACCTGTTGTGGAATAGTAATAAGTAGCACAGCAGGGGTATCATCAAGGGCGACCAAAGCAGAGTAAGCCGGGGAAACGGGGACCACAGAAAACAAGTCTACGCAGTTTTATTAAGAGCAAACATACTGGATAAAGTATAGAATCGGCTGAGTTGGGGTTGGGGTTGGGGTTAGGGTTGGGGTCTACGTGCCCCCTCTCTGGTATTTTTCGAATAAACTAACTTTTTTCGCGTGGGGAGTCCACAGAAAAAGGCACCTACCATCCTACCTCGCGAGACGCTCCGCTACCGTAGCATACTTTACCCATCTATCTAATTGCGAAATGGTTGTCGGATGATGGCCCGCTATGCATGCCAACCAAAAAGCGTCATCAGCAAGCACACATCAACCGATACGGCCAAGACTGTGTATTTTCTGGTGGCACATCTTGTCGTGTGTTGTGCGGGCTTTTAACACATTTCACCCCCTCTTTCGATCCTCACATCGCAACCCGCTTGCCCGTGCATCACGGGTGTATGGCTCTTTGTGCCGACAGTTATGCATGGAAGAGATCGTATCACGAATCCCGACCACCGACCGGGCTATATTTTACGTATGTATACGCCAGAGCGTCGTCGTGACAACAAAATCTGCCCATACCGTCCCAACAAAATCTTGACACGAAACTACAAGCGACGAGATTGAAAAAATACACTGTACAAGAAAAAAACGTGTGTTACTCGGAGACGACAATCACCCTAACCCACCATTTCACCGTCAAAATACATTTCACAAGGCTTGCTTTGTTCTTCGCTCGACGCGAAACCATCCTGCCAACCACATGGTATGCCGTATGACACACAGAAACAAAAAGAGCGAGGGTTCTCACCTGTTCTTCGGAGATGTACATCATGCTGCCGAGCGCGAATATGACGAGCGGGGTTGTTTGCTTCACCTCCTCCACAAGGGCGGAGTGATCCAGCCCCGGCAGGGTGAGCTCCAGCCCCATCGCGTGCTCTTCTCGGTCCGCGTAGGCCAGCACGACGCACTTGCACGCCTGCACCAGGCATGCCTTCACGTACGTACAAGCGGCATGGGACGGTATGTCATGGGACGGAATTGAACAGGACGGGATGAGATGGGATGGGACGGAATGTCACGGGACGGGACGGGACAGAACCGTGATAACACAAGTTCAGCGCTGTGGTCGACCTCGACAGATGGCCCTAGACAGATGGCTTAGACAGGCATGCCACGGTGGCAACGTGTGCGACACAGTGGAGCATGTCTCCGAGATCATTTATGGAGAGGGTGGGAGCAATCATCATTGTTGGTCAAAAGAACAGCGCCAAACATCGAACACATATTTTCTCGCGAGAAACGCTGCCTAAGGAATACACGTGTGAGAATATAACGACCCATCTTCCGAGTTGCATCGTACCGTCAGTGCGGAGTTTTGGCGGCATGGTGGTGGCCGCGACAAGCCATCAATTTCAAGCACCAACAAATCACCTGTAATAGTCCAAGCACCAGCTCGAGCTCTACATGCGCGAAGTGGACATCACAGGCTAACAAAGCACGGACGGCGATTCTTGAAGGTGGACTACATAAACATACGCGACACCTTTGTTCGCCGACAGGGAACACAGCAAACATGTCAACGTCTCGCGGGACCCCGTAGCATTACCAGCGCCTACCCCCTCACGATAACCCGGCATATCGCTCCATCCCGGCGTTGTAGGGATGCGAGGTCAATGGCCAAATGACTATGTATGGGTTTACATGTTTTTTTCCCTCCCTGATCCGGTGAGAACCCGGCACATCGCTCCGTCCCGGCTTTCCTTGTAGGGATGCGAGGTCAACGGTCTAACGACTACGGCATGCGTTTACATGAGTAACTCTCTCCACGCACACACCGACACTGGCGATTTTTCATTGGTCAGCCGGTCAGTGCGGTCGATCCAAATAAAATAATAAATAAACACAACACACACAATCACACCTGTGCGAAGGGCCACCCAGCCCCGCCCTCCACCGGCTCCCCGCTATCCACGTCCAGCCCGCGCGACAGCACCACAAGCGTCTGCAGCAGCAGGTTATATCCCGCCACCTCTTGCTCGAGCATGGGGCACAGGGCCACCGGCTGCCCGCTCGCCATGAAGCCCACCCGGCCCAGGGCCCGCCTCAGGTTGTGGTTCCGGTTGAACTTGAGCGCGGTGACGCTAGCGGCCTGGGGCGATACGACGCACGCGGGGCAACGCCATCATTACTCGCGTTGTACACACACGGACCGCCTACACGCGAAGAAACTTAATTTTTTCCATCAAGTAGGTCATGTAGACCCCAAACCCTTACCCTCGAAACTCCACCGATTCCATACTTTATCCAATATGTTTGCATAGTAAACTCGACGCGCACAGGCATCCGCTCGCCTTCAATCGACAACGGATACATCTACCCGAACTCCAGTCCCCCCCCCTCGAATAGACGCCGATTTCCACTCACCTCCAAAATCAGTCTGTCTGTCTCCATTTATACCACAAACCCCCTTACCCACGGTTGTATCCGTAGTACACCTTACAGCATAGCCTCCATCCTTAGCTTAGCTCAGCTGAGCTTACCTATGCTTAGCTTAGCTTAGCCAACAACCAAACTACGAAGAAAGCATCGCCGCACACAATTACACACCGGTGCGCGCTGCACCGCGCGTAGACCGGAATGGTTCTTAACGTCAATACAACAACAACAGTAACAACAACAACAACAACAACAACAACAACAACAACAACAACAACAACAACCGCTGCGCGTTGTCGTCATCTCACCTCTAGAGCGGCCAGCAGATCGACCAGGTTGTTCGCCGACAACCCGTCCAGGCACCTCTTCCTCACCACCCAGTGCACCAGCCTCTGCATGCGGAGCGACACCACCAGCATGGTCATCAATGCCCTCAGGTTGGGGTGCCTCGTCACGCCGCCCGTGGCGCCGTCGAAGTCCACGGACGCGCTGCTGCCGTGTCCCGACCCACCGCCTCGGGGAGACACCATGACAACGTCGGCGTCGTCGACTACGGCGCCTTCCGCCGCTGCTGGTGGCGGTGTTTCCAACTCAACCTCGGGGACGCCCCCTCCTTCTTTCTTCTCGTCACCATCCCCTTCCTCTCGACCCGGGCCTTCCCCGTTCTTCCCCTCCGAATCAGCGGCGCCCCACTCCTCCCTCTTCTCGCCATCCGCCTCGTCGTTGCCCACCGCCCCTGGCACATCCGATGATTCCGCGGCGCCCCCCCCGTCTCCGCGTGCGTCTTGCAACTCCCCCCAGCTCGATTCGGACTCCTCTCTCCGCGCGCTGTTCCCGTCATCGGAAGAAGAAGAAGAAGAACTCTCGCCGGAGGAAGAGCGTGGGGAACCGCCCTGCAGCAACAAGAACAAAGGCCAAGACGGTTGGTTAACTCAGCATCCGAGGGAAACCCTAACACACCAAAATAGCAAAACACACAAGGCCGCGTGAGGAAGTGGGGGGGGGGGGGCGGGGAGGAAGGGCGGGGACCCTCACAGACGGGTTGGTTCGATTCCGCTCCCCAAGAAAACGAACAAGCTCCGAGTAAGCCTAACGACAAGGTGTTGCGGGATATCATGAAGCCGCCGGGGTCTATCGTGCAACAGGAAACATACGAGTGTGCGGCCCGGGAAACAGTTCGAATCCCTAACCCTAGCATTGCCTGACATGACACTGCTGTTTCGACGGACAAAACACAGCCGTAGGAAAACGGTCGGTCACCTCGGTCGGAAGGAAGCAACCAACCTGAAAATATAAAACAGGGTTACGATTTCGTCGAACCAAACATTTACCAGAGAGCACATAAAAACTTTTCAACTGCTGTGCTGGGGGGGGGGGGGGGGTGTCCTCATAGCCATGCATGCCGAAAACCGTTAGACCATTGGCTCGCATCCCTACAAAGCCGAGACCGAGCACGCCTGGTTTCAACCGGACCGCGTATAAATAACATCACCAAGCGCGAAGCGCCGTGAGGTATTCGCCCAGTCGCATGGAAGGGGGGGGGGGGCTGATATGGAATGACCGACCTCGGTGGGGGGTCTTGCGGTGTCAATCCACGCTGGTGACGAGGAGGCGGCGTTGGTGTTGCCCTGACCCTCCTCCGCCGTCGTCAGGGTGTTGTCATCGGCGGCACTGGCGATTGGCGGCATCTCCTCCGCCTCATCGATGTTGTACTCCTGGTCCACCAGCTCGGAGGGGAGATTGTCTTGCACGATGGCGCACAGGCTCGAGGTCAGGGTGTCCCAAATCGTGTACTTATCCTGGTAAGTCAACATATGAGGGGGGTTGTAGTGGTGTTGGGTAACGGTTTCGGTAGCAATGGTGGCGGTGCTGTACTGGCTAATAGGGTGGCAGCAGCGGGGGGAGGGGGGAGTCGTGGCATCGAGAACCCAACCTCCAGCTGTCAATCGCGCACGAGTGCAAAAAAATAAACAAAAAAAAACGTACTTCAGTAGAACACAGAAAGAGCAAAAAAGCTTGCATCGGTTTCGGCACGTGTGCGGTCGGCTCGCCATACACACGCGAGCGCGAAAAGCTCCAAACAACAGCGACACCGTCCGGGTCTTTTTCATATTATCAAGCGCCTCAGTCGAGAAAGAGACACCCACCACACACACACACAGACGTGTTTTCAGCCGCACAGAGACCGACGTTTTTTCATTGGCCAGTCGGTAAGCGTCGTCGATGCCAACAACAAAAACACACCAAACAGCATCCTCGCGCTTTCCCTGTCCGCCTCCAAGACTGGCGTCTTCCGCACTGGCAAAGCCGGAAACAAACTCACATCCGCGTCCCCCCTCGCCGGTCCATTCGCAGCCCATCCGTCCTCCCCTCCCGCCGTAGCCTTTGGTCGAGTTATCGTCTCCGACGCATCCGAGAACCCCTTGTGCATGGCGGTCACGAAGCGGCCTAGGGAGGTCAACCCGATGCGCGCCAGCACCTCAGACTCTTGGCAAATGCAGCGCTAAGGGGGGGCACGCGGAGTGGAGCGGAGGGTGTGGACGGCGGGAGGGCGTAACAATCAATCCGGGGTCATACAGAACAACGCCTCAGCAGTCAACGCCTCAGCAGTCATTTGTTCACAGCGAAAGCTTCTTCATGTCTACGAATGTACATCATGAGTACGCAGCAACAGAAACTCAAACAACACACACAACACAATATACACACACCATGACGACCCATCACGTGGTCCCAGATTATGGCCTTTAGAAAGCATTTTTTCTGCCTCCAACCTCTCTTGAGACTGACGTCGTGTCACTAGTTGGCCAGTTAGTGCGGTCGATGCTTATTATGCTAATCAAGAAGAAACACACACACACACACACACAACCGCACTGGGACTGACGTCTTTTCATTGGTCAGTCGGTTGGCGTGGTCGATGCTAATAACAAAATCACATCAAATCACACACAACACAAGCACACACAGTTTCTTCTGTTGCTACCGTTTCTGTCTTTGATCCGGATACGAGGTTAGTCTCCCCCATGCCGCCCCCTCACGGGGTCCCACTTAATGGCATTTAGTAGTGTTCTTGGTTTTCACCCGCACTGAGACTGACTTCTTTTCATTGGTCAGTCGGTTAGCGCGGTCGATGCTAATAATAAAAAAAACGCACACACAAGACAACACCTGATGGAGCGCCAACACCTCCGGCAGCAAGGACAGCGTCGTCTTCCCGTACTTGAAGAAGATCTCGTGGCACAGCTCCAGCAGCGGCTCCACCATGGTAGCCGTCCAGCTTGTCTCGAAGGCCGCCGGAGCTCGAGGGGCGCGGGGGCCGGCAGTAGCCACCCCCGTACCCCTTGGCGACCTGGCGGCGTGCGCGGCGCTGCTGCCGCCGCTGCTGCCGCCGCTGCCGCTGCCGCTGCCGCTGCCGCTGCTGCCCCCGAAAGCCGAGAAGGGTCTGCTGAGGAGGCTCCAGCCGCTGCCGGCCTGTTCGTGTGTAACGGGAAATGTTTTTGTCAAGTAGAGAAAGACTGTTGCATCACGAAAAAATTGTTCCAAGTTCGGTGCGGCATGTCTGCACCGTATTCGCGTGTAGCCGGAGTTGCTCAAAATGCACTAAGCTTTTTTCTCGGCCATGGACAAAATCATTGGTCTAGTTCGGTATATGCTCCATCGTGGACCAAGAGATGGCACGCTACAAAGCTGAAACACCAAAAGGAGTCGAGTCCATAAACGGCAACAGCAGCAAGACCTTCGTCATCACCGCAGCACGGGCCGCGAAAACAGTCGTCACGCAATGATGCTTGATACTCAACTTAATCACCCACCTAACCGCAACATAAACGTAACGAATAGAACATAATCACCGCCGCCATCTCATCAGCACGTTCCCCCCTTCACAAAAGCCAGGCAACTAACATTTCCACCAGCAGCCAGCTAACGCAGTCATCACAGCAGCAGCTCAACAGAGAAAAAAATAAATCCCCACACCACACCATCCCCCCCCTCCTCACCGCCGCCTTCTTAGCCGCGCGCTCCTCCTCCGCAGCCTTCTCCTCCGCGGCCCTCGCCACCGCGTCCTCTTCCGCCTTGTCGGCCGCCGCAGCCGCCACCTGCAGGGGCCCCGGCTCCTGCCCCGGCCAGTCGGACGACAGCGGCTGGGTGGGCTCCGTGATGGCGTTCTCGAAGACCGGGTTGACCACCCCGCGGAAGAGGAGCCCCCACGTCTGAGCGGAGAAGATGGCGCCGTGTTCCGTGAGGATGTGGGAGAGCGCGGATAGGGCGCTCGAGCGGACGGCGGGTCGGGGGTCGCCGATGGCTTCCGACAGCCCGAACAGGAGCGGCCACCATAGCTGCAGCAGCGGGGGGGGGGGGGGGGGGGGGGGGGGGGGAGAAAATTCGGGGGGCCAAGGGGGAAGAATCCAAAAAAAAATGGGGGGGGAAGGGGGGAAATTTTGCCCCTTTTCCCCCCCCCC